AGTTACAGTATGGGTGATACTGATTAGTGAAGTATAGAGAACCAGAATAAGTAATGAAGATGCTAGAAGAACGATAAATAATCTAGTAGAGATCCGTTGAATTTTGAGCTGATGTCGGTCATTTGTCGGCGGAATTGATGGAAATATGTTGTATGTTGATAAGTACTCTTTTAGTTTCTCGCCCAAACTACGTCTTTGTTGTTCCTCTAACAAATTTTGCGAAAAGAAATTGAAAGTTATTATTCAGCTTATACACAGTATGCCAATTATGTAGGAATCCTCCATCAATTAGATCGCAGATAGGATATTATGCATAGAAACAAACTCTGACTAAATTTTGAATGTCTTTTTTTATTTGAGGGATACATCTTTAATGTGTGCAAAAAAATTTTTAAAACCGTGTGTGAATCTTACCTATTTCGTCTCTTGTCATTTGCTTCTTACGTCTTATATTATTAATCAGTCGTGGTACGAATAATCTAAGTACAGTGATTAAACCACCAGCTAATCCAATGATTGTCGTTACTATATAAATCGGCCTATTCTTGGTTTCATATGTATAACTACATTGAGATGCTGCACATTCATTATAATAATTTTCATATGTTATCAACCAATCCCATTTCTCAATCATCAAATTGTTAAGTATAACTTCGATAGTGGAATCCACATGAAACTCCATCAGCAATGACTCATTCAGAGCTCTAATATTCATTAGTGTACTCTCATAAAAATATGACTGAATTTGACTTAAACATGATTGATTATAGAAACATCGAAGATCAGATTGAAGTAATGATTCCACAATATAACATCCGGAGTACATACCAGGTACAATAAATAACAATGAACCTGTCGAATTGTAAATTGCTGCTTGATAGATACATTTCGCTGATGTCGCACATGAACAATTACCAAACCACCTTGCAGATGAATATACGAAAAGAATGGAGGAATATTCATACAGGTTGTAATTAGTAAGTAGTGCAGAAAGTAAAGCATTACTTTGTATCATTTGCCGTATTGATGAAAGGGATAACAAAAAGTCATTTGTCATCGAAGAAATAAATTGAGAAATGAATGAATCAACTTGAAGTGAGAATGTTTCCGAAGGAACAACTGATGAACTTACATATTGTGTAGAATAGAACTGAATTAAACGATTGTTAATTGTTTGTTTGACTAAGTTGCATAATGTATTCAATGATTGAAATATAAATGTACTAGTTCTTCGAAAATCTTCGACAAGCACGATTTCATTTGGTCGACCGCCAGAAAGAAAGTCGAACCAATTTTGAGTGATAAAAATACTATTACATATTTGATGAAATGTATATTTGATTTGGAGAAAAGTTTGATAGTTAATAGATATTTGTTGACAATCACATGTTAATGTTTGCGAATGTAGCGAAGAAAGTTCCAGATATTTTGTAAGTGTTGGTTGATTGATAGTTACAGTTTGTGTGATATCGATCAGTGAAGTATAGAGAACCAGAATAAGTAATGAAGATACTAGAATAACGATAAATACTCTAGTGGAAATGCGTTGATTTTGAAGTTGATATTCATCGGTTGTTGGTGGAATTGATGAAAATAGATTGTAATTTTTCAATGGTACTTTCAGTTTCTGATATAATTGATTAATGAATACAAGCATTTTCTTAAGTTTGCAGTGATCTAAAAGGGTAATAAATCTTGAAGAAGGAAGTGATAGATATCCTATGTAGAAGGCATAAAGTAATATAGTGAATGTTTTTTTCTTTATGTCGGAACATTCACTATATATCTTTCATAGAAGTGTAATTATTGTGTTCATGATATTGAAATGAAGAAAAACAGTTTCTCTAATTACAGGAAGTACTTTGAAAATTGTCGAGTGTTTGTAAAACGTTTTTAGTAATAGTACAATGGATAGAACATGATGGTAGTAATATCGAATTCTAAAGAACTTTTTTGGGTACTTTTATGTTTGTATTTGTTCCAAAAATGCTTTTACTCAGTTCAGAATTCAATTCTCTATCGAATGATATCAGATGTTTGAGTGAAGCAGTTTTTTCCTCCAATGACTTCGTTAGAAGTTCCCTCTACTGGAAGGAGAGTATACAAAGAATTTGAGTTGAAGTAAGCTTCGGCTTCTTCCTATCTCTTTCCAAAAGAGATCTTTTTCTGTATATTTGCTAGAATCTTTTATAGAAAATAGTGGATTGAACGGCACTTCTGGATGTGATGTGTGCGAAGGTAGTAGTTTAGGAGTTTACACAAAAGATTTACTATATCTTATATTATGATAGTTATAACTCAAGAAATTTCGATACCAGTTCTAATACATGTTCCATTTTGTCAGCGAAAATCTACTTGACAGAATACTTTGAACAGCAACTTTCCCACATAGGTATCTCTCCGCCGACCTTCCCCTCTATTGAATGATGAAAATCACAATTCGAAATAACTTTTCAACCAAAAGTTATACAACTTTCTTCCACTTGCCTTTTATAAAAACTTTGATAATAATAGGTTGTCCGAAAAGTTCGTGCAACTCATTTCACGGTACATCCGCAAGGCATTTCGCTTCCGCCATGCTATAGAGGACGCAATGGTATTACAATATATAATTTTTCGTCTAATTGGCGCGTTCCTTTAATTAGACGCAAAACGTTTTTCTAGTAATTTTTTAAAGAGCTGGAGGATGTTTACGGCGACTCTGCTCCACCTTACCGCACTGTCGCTAAATGGGTAGCTGAATTTTAAGATCCAGAACGTGGCCTTGAAATCATGAAGAATCATTTAGGAATGAAGAAAGTTTGTACACGTTGGGTGCCAAAATTGCTTACACCAGTTCAACTTGCAAATCGAATGGATTGTTGTGGAGAGCTCTTGCAGCAAAGTGAAGAAGATCTGGTGATGAAACTTGGTTGTGCCACTATGATCCTCTCACTCAGTTGGAAGGCAAGGCCTGGAAGAGATCAGGTGAACAAACACTAACTCGAGAACGTCGGCAACGATCAACTGCAAAACATATTTTGGGACAAGGATGGTGTTCTACTGATCGACTATCTACCACGTGGTGCTATAATGAATGGTCAATATTATGCATTAATCATCGAGCGGTTGCATTCTGTTTTACTGGAAAAACATCGTAACAAAGTTTATCGTGGTGTCCTGCTTCTCCATGACAACCTGTCTGTTCACAAGTCCAACATTGCTCAAGCTGCAATTCAACAAAACAACTTCATCGAATTGAATCACCCGGCTTATTCTCAGGATATTGCACCCTCCGATCATCATCTACCGGGTGTACCAAAAGTTTTGCGACACTTTTTATTTTGGTGATATCTTGACTTGAGAAAATGGTAATGCTTTGATTCCTTTTTTGAATGATAGAGCAAGAAACACTGTATAAGAAATGTATGTAAGAATCCTTAGTCTCTCTTTGGAAAAATTTTTGTGCGGTCGGTATTAAGTGTCTATCTGATACGACGGTGTCCCATCGTAATCCGATGAATATGAGTGTCTTAAATTCACTTTTGTTGATCTTTTACGAGCTTGGACAGACAGTTGCTATAGAGGATCTGACGATACATCTTGCAGAAAAAGATGAAGTTACTATTATACAAAGAAGCAAAAACGTCATAAATGAGACTTCAAAGAACTTATTCATCAGTTGTACATCTTGAATTTGAAAAACGCATACGTATAAACTCGCATGAGTTTGTTTTGACTTGTTTTGTAGCGCTTTTGACGACACATTTCGCGTATACAAGAATCATATTCTATCATTTCTGAAAACTAAAATATCTTGAAAATAAAACTGAAGTATACCGTAAAAATGGGACCGAGAAATGTGCTTTTTCAGTTTTGAGAAGACGAAGTACGCCAGATGCTAGTATTTATGATTGTTCGATATAGCTCTGAAGAAGCTCTTCAACGCGCAAATTTTAAAAGAAGAATCAGACGGATATCTGTTTCAAATGCCAAAATATATAAGAAACAATAAAAAATATGCAGTTAATTTTATTGCGCGGGGACATCGTCGTTTCAGACAGATACTTAATGCTGACCGCACAAAAATTTTTCCAAAGAAAGACTAAGGATTCTTACATACATTTCTTATACAGTGCTTCTTGCTCTATCATTCAAAAAAGGAATCAAAGAACTACCATTTTCTCAAGTCCAGATATCACCAAAATAAAAAGTGTTGCAAAACTTTTGGTACACCCGGTATTCTCAAATTTGAAAAAATCTCTTCGTGGCATAAATTTCAACTCCAATCACGAAGCAATAGGAACTGTCGAGGGCTAATTAAATGATCTTAATTCGGATTTTTTTGTCACCGTACAGAGCATTTGCATGACCGCTGGCGACGTGTGGTTGCTAGTGGTGGTCATTACATTCAGTAAAAGCTGGTATTGTTCTTCCACGATTTAACAGTGTCTGAGTTGTACGAACTTTTCGGACAACCTATTAGTTTAGAGATCTTTTGAATTTTTCATGCATATTTCCTTCCTACCTAAGAAAAAGCCCGTGAAAGAGGTCGAAATCTAGTTTGTGGGAATTCGCTCGCATAATATTCAACCTCACCCTTTACTGCTCTTGAGAAATATTGTTTCCACCTCTGTATATTGATGGATTGTTTTATTAGGTCGAATAAAAGAATATTTTATCAGAAATCATTAATAAAGCATCATATATGAACGATTAGCTTTGAAAGATGAACACAGAAAAAAAGTTTTGCACTTGATTTATATAAGTAGAGAAGATTAATGACGAGCAAGTTTTATCAACTAGAAAATGTCTTTTATTTTTTTCTCAAAATATCATTGCATTAATTTATTATTGGAATGATTTGTCGACTGGGAGATCGAATTAATTTGATAATAATCACAACTATCACTCTACAGATAATAATTAATCCTCCATATAATCCAACTAAAGAAGTTATACCTTGAATGAAATTATTGCGATCAACATAAGAATCAAAACATGATGTGGGTGCACATTGATTAAAATATTTTTCGTACGATATATTAGTTAAATATTCTTCGATTGTAAGTTGATTTATAATAGTTTCTAAAGTGGTATTAATATTAAATCGACTAGAGTTTATCGATAATATATTCATCGCTTTAAATGTTTCAGTAGAATCAATACATTGCTGATCATAGAAACACTGAAGTGTTAGTTGTAAAAGAGCTTCAAGTGGATAACAACCAGCTAACATATTTTGTGACGGAATAACACATTTTGATGAAATAGAACAACTACAATTTCCATAAACAATCGGAACTGTATGCGCAGCCCACCCTAAACCTGGGAAATCTGCAGTAGAAAATTTCCAATTAGTTGATATTGTATTCATAATCATATTGGTTCCTGTTGTCTCTCGAATAAGTAATAAAGTACTGAGGAATAAATTTGGCATTGTTAATTGAAAATCATTAATAAATGTTTGAATACGTTCATTTAATAAATGCAATGATAAAAGTTGAGCATCAATAAAATAGCGTGTGATTAATTGCGAAATTTCATCATCTACTATTTTTTTAGATAATTGACAAAGTAAAGCAAGACCTTGAAATTGAAAACTAGCTGAATAACGAAAATCATCGAATGCATATTGAGAAGATAAATTTCCATCACTATAATAATATTCAATCCATTCCGGAGAAACAAAGTCACTTGAACAAATTTCATGAAAACGAGGTTTAATATTAAAAAATGATTCATATTTAATGGATATTTGTGAACAAGAACATTGAAGAGAAGAATCAGGAAATTGTTTTACAAGATTTTCATACATTGATAATGATGTTACATGATATTCTTTTGTTAAAGATTGAGGAATAAAAGCTGACAGCATATAAAAAGTACACAAACTTGTTAAAAGTAATATAAAATGCATACGATCTATTATTTGTTTTTCATCGGAAAAACGAAATAAATGTTTAATCATTTGAATAAAAGCTTGATAAGATATACCATCTATAAATTTTTCAATTAATCGAAGTGAAATTAAAATAAGAAGTTTATAACCAAGTGACAATCCTCCAAAAAGACCAATAATAGTAGCAATAACAACAAATATATTATTTCGATCATTATATTGAAATGTACATGATAATGGCGCACATGCATTATAATATGAAGAAAATGAAATATTTGGCAACCATGACTCGATCATAAGTCGATTAATCAACGATTCAATCGTTTCAGATGGTGAGCTACGATTAGGATTAAGTGCCGAAAAATTAAAAGCATCTTGAAGTGGTTGTTCCATATACGAATCNAATTAATAGCTTCAATCCATCGATCAGTTATAAAAGCACTGGAACATGCTTGATGAAAACTTGCATTGATCGATGTAAATGCGCCGTATGGGATAGATATTTTAGAACATAAACATTGTACATCGATCGGCAGATGTTCATATTCATCGTTAGATGGATGATGAATCGTAATAATTCTTGTTTGAGGATTTAACCACAAATAAATACCGAGAATAAACATGGTTAGTATGAGAACTGCCAGATAGATTCGAGTACTAATGAGATTTAGTCGACGTTGCTGGTCGTTTTCTTTTTCGCCACTCTCGATTGATGGTTCAAAAAGATTTAAATTGAGAAGAAATTTTTTCAAAGAAGACATTCTTAACAATTATTTTTAAAAAATGATACTACTAGTTGTTTTTTCCCCTTCTTTTAAAACTGCAAGTTACACTTCTTCGTCAAAAAAGGAATATTTAAAAGAAAAATGAAAATTCATGATGCATAGTTTAACTGTTAGAATAGGCAGTGGTTGCTGACACATTTCATGATTATGTGTAGAGAAAAAAGAATTGCACTGAATCAGTGCAAAACCAGCATCACAAACAAAGATTCAGCTAAAATAATTTCTAAAAATGAATATCTGTGCATAAAAATAACTGCATTCAATCTCAGAGTTCAATTCTACATCGAATGGTAATACTTTTATTTATAGGAAAATAATTGAGAAAATTTGACCTAGATCGTTCTCCTATATGTCTATTTTAGTGGCGTATCCAGGATTCGACCGGTCGCCTGGCAATGCGTGGACAATTATCTAATGATTCAAAATCAATAGTTTTTTCTTAGGAAAAAATTAATTTAGCACGAAACGAATTTATTAAAAAACACTATCAATCAATAGTTTAGTCTGTGAAATCTTAGTTTCCTACGAGAAATAATTAGTTTTTCAAGCAAGCAGTAACCAGGGACCGCCGGAAGTCGAAAAAACAGCGAGAGAGTTGGTATTTGGCACAACATTTTCAGGAAACTATCAGAATTCTAAAGTGTTTTAAGAAATTTTTCCAGAATCTCGAACATTTTTTAAAACTATGCTGTTTTTTAACGATTTTTGAAGATTTCTTAGCCTTTTGAAAAAAAGCTTCAGAAAATGAGAAAAAACTGGGCAACAGAAGAAATAAAATTCTCAAAGATTGGCCGAACATCGTTGCCTCGACAACGTCTCTATTGGAACACCTCTGATGCTAATAAAATGTATTCTATACTTAATTATTCTCTATCGAACTTGACTAAATTTCATTTTAATCGACTGGCTCGAAATGATGTATTCTCTCTTTAAATTTTATAAACTAATAGTTTGTTGATAGCTTAGAAACGCGATCACTTCGGCAACGATGCGAGTAAATCTTCAGACAAGTCTTATTTATGGTTATATCAGAGTACGGTAACGAGGTTCTATTCGCAGTCCTCGCTTTGAGATGCAGAGTTAATCATTAAAGTTCAGAATAGGAAATAAATAACAGAGAAAACTGACGATGGAACATATTTAGGTGTTCAAACAGTTTAAATCCCATCTATTGGTAGTGAGTAGACATCAATGAGATATGAAAAAGCTCAAAAGGATTCATGCCTTCGTGCCTTTGTTCCTGAGTTATGATCGTTTTACTCGTTTTTTTGTTTATTACAAGGTGCTTCGATGAAATACCAATGACTCATTTCCGACCTGCGATTTTGCCTATAGATAGGTGTTATCTGTACTAGATTGTTCTGTAAATATCAGCCCGAACGAACATCTTCTTCAGATAATCGAATTTAGAAAAATCCTGCGTTTCATCAATCATTTGAAAAAGTCTGATCTGTCTTGGAAATTTGTTATCAGCTAAAGGAAATATTCGTTCGGGCTGATATTTATAGAACAATCCAGTACAGATAACACCTATCTATAGGCAAAATTTCAGGTCGGAAATGAGTCATTGGTATTTCATCGAAGCACCTTGTAATAAACAAAAAAACGAGTAAAACGATCATAACTCAGGAACAAAGGCACGAAGGCATGAATCCTTTTGAGCTTTTTCATATCTCATTGATGTCTACTTACTACCAATAGATGGGATTTAGACTGTTTGAACACCTAAATATGTTCGTTCGTCAGTAGGAATTTCTAATGTACGAATATCAATGTTTGGGATATGTTATCAAAGTATGAATTGTCTATTTTTTACCAATGGAAAAAGGCCTTTGGTAAATGCATAATTCAGAATGGGTTTTTGGTGTTTTTGAAATCTTTTCTTTATTTAGAAATAGAATATAACAAGTTTGTCTCGATGAGTACATCTTGATGTGTACATTGCACGATGCAATGTACTTTTACGACAAATATGATCAGCATGACTGCAGATTGTTTGAATAAATTGCGTTTTTCGGAAGGAATCTCTCCGACAAAACCTTATAAATTTTTCTATAGAAAGTTCCCGAAATGATAAACTAACACAAAGGTTTTCATATACTTTTTTTAATTACAAATAAAAATGATTAGTTTTGTTGTTCAAATATCTGTTTTGTAATTTCAAGACAAGTTTATTCGGATTTTATTGTACCGATCAGATTAATTCATTTGATTGTCTTGTGGAGTAGCATCCAATTCGAGATGACATATGAATATACTGTATGAGAGAGAATCAATAAATCAGCTTGATTTCAAGAGTGTCGGTAATCAACGTATTTAATTCATTTTGTTGTTTCAAATTTATTTACATTACTGTGTTTCCGATCAAGATCAAATATGAAGAATGATTTCAAAAATTGTTTTTTTTTTTTCATTTCTGTATTTTATTCTATTATAACTAGTTGAGAACATTTTGACGTGACGCAGGTCGGTGCTGCACTTACGACGTACTTTCAAGACAATGCTATCCATGGATAGCTTAGCTTTATTGGCCACTATGTTGTTGATCTTCCAACACATTGAAGGTAACTAAGTTTCTAACCAAACTTATACGTATATCACAGCAGAGTTATAAATTATGACCGAAAAGTTATCGCTGATAATAAAGATTAATCATGAACATACGTACGCTCATAATCTTTCACATAGTGTCAAAGGATTGTTCATGCTAAACTCCAATTATAAAATTCTTCGATGATTCTCACAAGTCTCTCTATTTTCGATAGGCACCTCCGTTAATCGACCCAAACTGTGTCCTTCTGCAACATGGAATACAACAGCAACTACGTTTGCAGATATGAACACGGTTGGTATCTATCCACATGGAATTTTCATCAACCGAAATAACACGATCTGTGTTATCAATCAACAATTGCAAAGTATTCAAGTATGGACTAATAACTCGTCGACTCCAACACTAATCGCTGTTCGAAACAATAGTTNCTACGTTTGCAGATATGAACACGGTTGGTATCTATCCACATGGAATTTTCATCAACCGAAATAACACGATCTGTGTTATCAATCAACAATTGCAAAGTATTCAAGTATGGACTAATAACTCGTCGACTCCAACACTAATCGCTGTTCGAAACAATAGTTACCCAGTGAGTCTGTTTGCTACCGACGATGGTACTATCTATGTAGATGATGGTAGTGCTTATGTAACTGTTTGGCAGCTAAATCAGCCAGGTCATCGTCCATCATTGTATACTGGTGATAGATGCTATGGTCTTTTTATCGACACAAAAAACTCATTTTACTGCTCCTTGTACAACAAGCATGTTGTCATCAAGCGATCGCTGAATAGTAGTGATATTCAGACGACAGTTGTCGCAGGCGAAAGTTGCTACGGATTTTTGGGTAATAAGCTGTATTTTCCCATGGGAATATTTGTTGATGAAAATTACAATTTATATGTGGCTGACTATGGAAATCACCGAATTCAATTTTTTGGATCGGGACAATCAAATGCAACAACGGCAGCTGGGAGTGGCGCACCTGGAACAATCGCACTATACTATCCCACTGATGTCATGGCTGACGCTGATGGATACATATATATATTGGATCACAACAATTATCGTATTATAGGATCGACCTCTCATGGCTTTCGATGCGTAGTTGGATGTACTGGTTCAAGTGGCTCTGCAGCTGATCAATTGGCTGACTCATGGAACATAGCTTTCGATGTGTATGGAAATATTTTTATTGCTGATAGTGGTAACAATCGTGTACAAAAGTTTCTTCTAGCTACCAACTCGTGTGGTACGTAGACTGTTATATATCTAAAAGAAATCTATAGTAAAGAGCTACCACGTATTTTATCATAAAGATTGAAAGAAAGATAAACTGTGATGTTTCAGTACATCTACGATAGTAACGAGCATCTAATCGATATTTCACTAATTTAGATGCGACTACTGTCAGTCAGCAGACGCCGACACCATCAGCCAATGCTGGTATGTCAATTATATTTGAAATTTTTTTATTGTATCACCGTCGTTGATTTTTCTAGTGAATACAGCGAATATTCCTCACCAACGAGGCATGTGATAGCTTTGCATCTTCTAATTTTCCATTTAATAGGAATTTTTATGTCAAATTTGTCTGTAGGTATTTCATACAATCAACCGAAACTATACGGAAATGAATTGTGGAATGAAAACGCTACGACTTTCGCAGACGTATCTACAATTGGCAAACAGCCCATGAATGTTTTTGTGGATGCAAATAACACAGTTTATGTGATAAATCGCGATTCAATTCTCATTCAGGTGTGGGCTGGAGGAAAACTTAGTATTTCTAAAAGTATCGCTGTTGGTAATGCTTTACCTACCAGTCTGTTTGTTACAGACATCGGAGGTATCTACGTTGATACTGGCGACATTGTGGGTCAAGTTTTCCAATGGTCACTAAATTCGATCAGTAGTACACCCCTGATGTATGTCGGACACTCCTGCTATGATATCGTTGTGGATCTTAATAATACCATTTACTGCGCTTTGTCTAACAATCATCAAATCGTCGCTAAGTCATTATATGAACTTTCCAATACAGTGAGCCTTGTTGCCGGTACAGGATGTAGTGGACAAGCGTCGGATATGCTTGGTTACCCTCAAGGATTATTTGTTACTGTGAATTTTGATTTATAGGTTGCAGATAGTGGGAATGGCAGAGTGGAAGTGTTTGAGGCGGGATAAAAAAAGGGTGTAAGTATGGGGGGTAACGGAGCTCCGAAAACAATTTCACTTAACTGTCCAACCGATGTCATGCTCGACGCAAATGGTAATTTATTTATCTTGGATGCTTGTGATAATCGGATAGTCGGATCGGGACCAAACGGTTTTCAATGCATAATTGGCTGCTCCAACTCAGGTGGTTCAGCCGCTAACCAAATACTTAAAAGTCAGAGTATGGCGTTCGACAGCTATGGCAATATTTATGTCGCCGACTATGGCAATGCTCGTATTCAATTATTTACTTTGAGCAACATTTTATGGGGTAAGTCTTGACGTATTATTTTTTATAAAACTATAATTACTCATTCGTTCAACCATGTATAAAACGTTTACATACTTTTTCATACGTTCTCCAACAACATCCTCTCGACAGATGATCTAAAATAGACAATCAGCTGCATCAATTTTCCTTTTTCCACAGATGACACAACAACTGACACAACAACTGACACATCGCAAACAGTTTCGCAACAATCAACAACAGAAACTCAAAAAGGTATTTTCACGATTATTTCATC